AGCTCTTTGTCACATATAATAAATACATTTTCCCATTTCTTATCACATAGCTTATGGAATAGATATTGAATGCCACACTCTCTACTCTAAGATGCCTCTCTTATAGGAGGCATTAATACAATAGCCATTGAGAAGAGGAGAGGGCTGTAGTTCTTGTTCATTTGAAGGAATAAATAAGCATTCACTACATGTTCAATCCAAGTCACTTTCTTCAACACCACAGAGTTTGAGTCTCAGCCTTCTCCACATCTTCCAGGGGCCGAAGGGTCAAGATTAGAGGTAGGGATTACGAGAGGCAATGGTGGTTGTGATGCTGTTCAGCAACCAATGTCCAAAAGAGATGGTGTAATTTCAAAGCATACAAAAGAATATTGGGGATTTTTTATCTGCAGTTCTTATTTGGTTATACTTGCAGTTTCATTTTTTCCCCTTTACTTGCAGGAAAAAGATTCCTGAAGTTCATCAGCTTCCTTAGGTAGTTTCTGACATATAGATGCCTAAGTGTCGGACCCATGAATAGGTCCCACCAATCCCTGCTGGCTTTCAAACTTTTATGATCGACTTCAAGAAGTTTGGCTCTTTCTTTTCAATGTTTAAACAAGTAACGCATGATTCTATTCTCACTGTAAAAATGCAAACAGTGTAGAAAAATTTAGGGTAAAAAGTGGAAGTCCTGCGACACCCCCTAATTCCTAAATTTAGTTTCCTTCCCCAAGGAGACCACTCTGCGGTGTGAAGCTTCCAGAACCTCACTTGTGGGTTTCTGTGCACACAGATGTGTGTATACCAATTACAAGGCTTTGCATTCCGTAAACCATTCTGTACAGGCTCGGTAGCTCTTTTCATATAGTTTGTTTTGGAGAGCTTCCCATGTAGACTCCGTAAATGGTGGACATTTAGGTTGTTTCTAATTATTTGCTCTTACAAACAGTGCTATAATTAACATCCTTGTAAATGTCTCTTTGTACATATGGGCAAGCATTTCTTTAGGGTAGCTATCTATGGTTTGGCAATTTCTGCTGCCTTTAATTGCATTGCCTGGTATCTGGCAGACGATCTTCCGCATGTACAATAACTTTTTGCGTCCGCGCTCCATTATAGTGTAAGTTTTAAAAAGAAGTTCTAGGCGACAATTAGGGATCTAAGTTTAAGTTCAAATTCTGTGTGGATCGCTGTAAGCAACTGAGGTGACGCTTAAATGAACAGATACACACGGCTAAGTTCACCCACGCCCGGGCAGTTGTGATGGGGAGCAGATAAGATCCCCCTCCCTCAAACACCCATTGTAAGGTATATCATGATTTTGCAAGCATTAAAATATGAGAAAAATGCATCTTGGGATAGAGGAGTTATGGTGTTTTATTTTCCCTAAGTGAATAGATAGCCTATTGCTTCACCCCCATATTTGAAGAGTCCTTCCCTTGTGAGTTGATACAATTGCTTTACTACTAACTCATCCTCCCTTCCCTCCCCCGCCACAGGTGGATGTGTCTCAGCACTATTAGTCTTTTTTTCTTGTTGTTAATCCTCACCTGAGGATATTTTTTTCCATTGATTTATTTTAGGGAGAGTGGGAGGGGAGAGGGGGGAAAGGGAGAGCGAGAGAGAGAAACATCAATGTGAGAGAGAGACATATCGATTGGTTGCCTCCTGCACATGCCCCCACCGAGGTGAGGATTGAACCTGCAACCCAGGTACTTGCCCTTGACAGGAAATTGAACCCGAAACCCTTGGGTGCTCCGGCCGGTGCTCTAACCACTCAGACACACCAGCCAGGGCTGGGCTATTACCTTTTGACCCATGTGTCTGTTCCTATGTGTCTGTGGTAGTTCAGGGGGCAGCTCTCCTGTAGTCTTATTTTTGAGAACTTTCTTGCACATTTGTCTCCCGTCTGCTGCTCTTCCTTCTTCCCACACTGTCCCTTTCACACGGGGCACTTCATAGCTGTTCACACCCGGCATGATGGTGCATCGCGACGGGTCTGATGTGCGAACATCTGCAGCAGACAAGACCACACTTTCCTCAGGACTTGACACGGAGCTCGCATCAGCACGCAGCGATCTCTCGTTCTCTCTCTCAGCCCGTGACATCTCCCAGCATCGCTGCTCCAACATCAGTTATGCCCGAGTCTCGAATGGTGTCAATCCGAGTTGAAAATGTGCCAGCTTCCTTAGCATTATCACTAACAGGCTGTTTAATTAACCTGTGCTGCTGTCAATCGTCGATCTGCCGGTGTGCTAGAGAGGAGACCCGTGGCCACCCATGGTTGGCCTTGGTCTTGGTTTCTCTCTCTCTGTCTTTTCCATTCGCTGTTCCCTTGCGGCTCTCAGTGTTCATGACTCAGGAGCTGGACTGGCCGGGAACCGATGGGAGGGACCAGGGATGGCTTGGAAGGAAGACGGCAGAACTGAATGTTCTGGGTGAGATCATGGAAATGAAATGACTGAAACAGGCCAGCAATCTCAGTGCTCAAAGGTGATAGCAGCTAACCTGTGCATACAGCAGGTGCCGAATAAATGGACAACCAGTATACACAGTCAACAGGAGAAATGACGGTGCATGTGCCATTTGAGTAGGCAGTAAGGATGGGGGTGTTCCAAGGGAGGAGCCTGGGGGTTGCCCTCATTCTGAGGTGGCTTTTAGGATTTTCACTGCCTCCCCCCCCCCCCCCCCCCCAGAGCCCTCCTTCTGCACCCAGGGGGTGGGGGAGGAGTTTGCAGAGTGAGCTGCCACCTCCTGACGTGAAGCAGAGGCTCCTCCCCTGGACCACATTCCTGTAGCCTTGCCTTTCAGAACAGCCGTGGCAGGAGCTGTTCTCCGAGGGCAGAGACCCATGCCTTTCAGGGCAGAAACCCCCCATGTCCTCTCCGGTGGTTGTGTTGGGTCTCCTGGGAACTGCAGGCCTGGCAGCCCCAGGGGGTAAAGGACAAAGAGCATCCCTGTCACCACTAAACACACCGGCTAGGTGGCCCCCCTTCCCAAGGCCACTGTGGGGGCCCTTCCTGGCCCTGAGCCCTGGGAGGGCCTGGGGCTGGCGGGAGCTCTCCTCTGAGGGTGAGGAGGGGGAGATTTGGCATCAGAATTAGAACCCAAGCCCCGTTGTCCCGAAGCCGGGGTTCCCAACCTCTCTTCCTTTCCTCATCCTGTGGGTCTCCAGATGTGCGTGACACAGGGGTTTTCAACATCAGCACTACTGACGTTTCGAGCTGGATAATTCTTTGCTGTGGGGCAGTGCTGTGCATTGTAGGATGTTTAGCAGCATCTCTGGCCTCTACCCACTAGATGGCCTATAGCAACCCCTACACACACCAGGCTGTGATCATCAAAAATGTCTCCAAATGTTGCCAGATGTCTCACAACATTGCCCCGGTTGAGAGCCACTGTATCAGACCGCTGAGCCTGCCTGCCGTGTGGACAGGAGTGGCCCGGCGAGAGGAGGTCTGCCCGTGGGTACCAGTGCGGCTGAGTGTCTTGTGGAAACATGAGAGCTACTCAAAGATGACATCTGTGCTGTAAATACATTTAAAACTGTATTTGGTCGCCTGCTTTTCTCTCCAAAGACTGCGGAGCCACTTGGTCTTCCCTCTGCCTCTTCCACCTTCCACTTTATTGAAAAGGGAGACTGAGGCTTAGAGACCCCAGGGCCCCAAGCCACCCCTCACCTGCAGAACCCTGTCTCCCAGCTGCAAGCACCCTGGGCCCCTCTGCTCCCCTGCGTTGGCGCAGGCACCAGGAGCATCTGCGGTCCTCCTCCCACTCCACCTGCCCACACAGGCCCTGCCGCCCTCCAGCTCCCCAAACCCGGGTGCCCCCCCCACTGGAGGGAGTGGGGAAGCAGCAGGTGTTGATGCTAATCAGCGTTCACAGCCCAGAACTGCAGTCGCTCCCAGGCTCACACACTCCCCAAAATTAAACACTCATTATACAAAATTAATTGACATTAATTAGCAAAAATTAAAACTTTAAACACAGCAAGGCGCTTTGGGGGGAGGAGTGAAGCAGGCGGGCTCCACATTTGTCACCCCCCACTCCCCACCCGCCCACCACCCCCTTGTTCCCCCACTTCCATCCTGGAGCAGAGCTGGGGGAGTTCAGGCGAGGTCAGCACCCACACCTAGCCTCGGGCTTGGGCCCAGGCCCAGCCCTGTGAGTCCCTGGTAAGGCTCCCGAAGCTAGCCACCAGCTGAAAGGTGGCTCCCAAACTCTGGCATCCAGTGTTTAACTATGGATCCAGGAACCCTCCCCTCAGCCCAGGCCCCATGATCTCAGCTGAGATGGGTGGGCATGGTCAAAGGATGAACCAACCATCTGAAGCCAAAAGTAGAAGGTATTCCCGTAGCACTGCCTGACCCCGCCCTCTCCCCATCTCCTGGGTGTCCAGAGGACCAGGCTCTGTGACCTTTCAGCTCTGCCCCACTTTGCTATGTGACCTCAGATAAATCCCCGCCCCCCCCCCCCACACACACCATGAGCCTCAATTTTCCATCCATATGATGAGGGGGCGGTGCTGGGTGAGCACTGAGGTTCCTGCGGCTCTGGCACCTGCTGTCAGAGAAGCAAATCTCTGGGAACTTGATTCACGCTGAGGAGCAAGGGGCTGGATGTGGGGTGCTGAGTTGCTGATGGGGGAGCATCAGGCACCCGTGGGGGATGTGTCTTCAGGCCCCAGAGCCCCCCAGATGGGCACCCCTTTGGCCTGCCTGCAGGGGGCAGTCTCCTTGATAACTGGCCGCTCTCTAAGCCCTGAGCAGTTCCCCTTCCTCCCTAACACTGGTTGTTTTCCAGCCTTGCTCACCAGGTTCTCAAGGTCCCCCAAACCCCTCACCAAGCTGATGGGCACCAGGACCACACCTTCCCCCACTGCACTTGAACACAAGCTTGGCGTCTATTCAGAACTTCGTTGCTTGGGCTGGGGAGGCTGGGGCGAAGGTGGAGCCCAGGGGTCCTACCAAGTGGACTGCCATCCTCCCCCTCACTCCCGCTCCCTTCTCTCTCTCCAGCCAGCGCCAATATCTGCAACGTGGTCCTGATGCGGTACGGGGAGCTGGAAGAAGGGATCGATGTCCTGGATGGTGATGGCAACCTCGTGGGCTCCTCCAGGATCGCAGCCAGACATGTGGGTCCTCCCGGGGCTCAGGGGGCAGAGCATGGGGGGGGGGGCAGCCACAGGGAGGGTGTTGGTTTCCCCTAAATGTTTTCATTCCTCAAAGATTTTGCCTACAGCACCCTTGCTTTGTCCTCTTAGTCTCTCCTCCTCACTCTGCCCCACCTGCCCTCTGTATGAGCCCCAGCCTGGAGATCTGGTCCAGCCACGCCCATCCCCTAGGCATCCCTGTTTCTCTCCAAGTGCCCTCTCCTCACCACTGTGAGCTGTCCCCATCTCATCGCAGCCCCTCAGGACCCAGCTTCTCTGATCTGTTAATTGGCGAGGGCAGAATAGACCCCAGAGCTTTCCCTTCCCTCCCCGGACTTGGGACCCTGTCCCCTGGGCGTTCACGTCCTCCTGGGTAAGATGAAGAAGTGTGGGCTTCTGTGCTAATAAGCACTCCTGCACTTGGCGCCTCGCTGGGGAGTGAGGAGTGAGTGCGCTAAGGTGTGGGATTTCAGGCTTGCCAAGGTCTTGCAGTGGCTGGAGAGGAATGTTTTGTTAGGGGAAGGCCCTTTCCCACCTCTGGTTTCACCCGCCTCACCCACTCCAGCAGTTGTAATATTTTTTAACTCCAGTATGCTTGTGTCCAGCCCTCTTCCCCGTGGTGATCAGTGGCTCTCCCCGCTCTGGCTTCCAAGGGCTGGGACAGGGGGGTTCGGCTGCGAGGTAGCCTAGCATTTCTGCTCCAGGCCCTGTCCCTCCTCAGCTCCCACAGGGGCCCGAGCGGAACCTCTGTCTGGGCGGACTCCTCTATGAGCCTCCAGTGTAGGGAGAGCCCTCTCTCATCCAGCCCTCCCCTCCCCACTGTTTCGGGGGAAGTGAGTGCCCACCCAAGGCTCTGAAGGGAAGGGGCTCAGGTTGCCGGTGCCAATGCTGCCTGCGCCCTCTGCTTCCCGCACACGGGCTCTGGGCCCCTCATTCCCCCGCTTGGGAGGGAGGCTGGAGGGACCCTCTCCCAGGCCTTCCTGAGGCTGGTCACAAAGGACCCCAGTTCCTGGGAGAAATTTCCAACCCTGAGCCTGTCCTCAGAAGGGATTTGGCCTCAGTTTCCTACCTGGTACCAACCTCCTCTCTAGCCCTATACTCTTTCTTGACTTGCTGTGAGGGAGGCTGATGTTGATGGTCCTCTTCCTGGTCCAAATGGCAGGAGCCCCAAGCTCTCTGCAGCCCTGGGTGTTCCCCCGCCTGGCTACAGCCCCTTGCTGTCTAAGACAGTGGTCGGCAAACTCATTAGTCAACAGAGCCAAGTATCAACAGTACAACGATTGAAATTTCTTTTGAGAGCCAAATTTTTTAAACTTAAACTATATAGGTAGGTACATTGTTATTAACTTAATTAGGGTATTCCTAAGGCTTAGGAAGAGCCACACTCAATGGGCCAAAGAGCTGCATGTGGCTTGCGAGCCGCAGTTTGCCGACCACGGGTCTAAGGGAAGACCAGGGACCCGGGGGACTACCAGTCGTTCCTGGAGGGCCCAAGCCTGTGGGTTAAATGGACGCCCCACAATGACCGGCAGAGTGCAGGGGTGCCACAGCTGTGCCCTGGCTGTGCCCCCTGCCGGGAATCCCAAGGGAGTCCCAGAGCCAGGCCCAGGCAGGGCCCATTGGGAGACTCACAGACACTCAGCGGGAGTGCCTCCCGCTGGTCACCAAGAAAGCCGCCTCCTCCTCGGACCTTTGTCTTTAAGGGATGTCAGAGAACAGCAACTCCCAGAGTCTCTGTCCCCCCTCGGCACCAGGCCCTAGCTCTTTGCTGGGGTCCTTCCAGGGCCTGCTTAGATTTTAGAGCATCTCAAGTTTTCCTGCTGCTTCCCCCCAAGCCCCTGCACCTGCCACCCACCCGAGGCACCCCCTTGGGCACTTCTGTGTTGCTGTCCCACCCCCACATGTGGCAGGTGTCAGGATCTGCTCTTCAAATGTGTGTGATGAGAAGACGGGGGTGGCTTTTCTCGGTTGCTGGAGTATGGCTTCATGAGCAAATCCGTGAATTATTCCACTCAGCCAGGCCTGCTTAGCAGTGATGTGCACACCTCAGGGCTCTGGGGTGGGATGGGCTGCCAGGCAGCTGTGCCCCGCCCAGGGAGCCCCACTCACCACAGCCTCCGCTTGCCCCTCAGGCCCTGCTGGAGACGGCGCTGACGCGAGTGGTCCTCCCCATGCCCATCCTGGTGCTCCCGCCAATCGTCATGTCCATGCTGGAGAAGTGAGTTGGGGCAGCCAGGACCGTGGGGCCACCACTGGGCAGGAGGGAGAGGTGGGGGACTGCTTGCCCAGGTCAAGGGATGGGATGGGGGGGGGGCAGTTTATTCAGACTCTCCCAGGCAATGCGACTGGAATCTGAGAATTCATGGACTTTAACTGTGCAGGACCCCGTGCTAGGTGCTGGGGAGGCTAGCCTTGCCCTGAAGAACTGGAGATTCTGGTGTGTGTGTGAGTCTGTGTGCATAAGTGTGTGTGTGTGTGTGTGTGTGTGTGCGCGTGTGTGTGTGTGTGCGCGCGTGTGTGTGTACAGCGCTATTGCTGCACAGGGCAGGACCAGTTGTGGAGAGAGTCTGAGGACTAAATATGGAGCCAGCACCACCCCTTCCAGGCATCCACCATGAGGCATGTCACTGCTGCGGAGCCTCAGTTTCTCCATTTCTAAAACACGGACAGTACCAACCTCCCTGCCTCCCTCAGAGGATGCTCTGAGAACACAGGCTTGCCATGACTGGAAAGAAATGAGGGAACACAATAACAAAACAATGGTAGAGTGATTGTATTAATTAATGGGTGTGAAATTGAGTCGTGAGGACTGAAATGCTGCTGGAAGGAGAAGAAGCTGAGCAGGGAGGGGGGAAGGGGCCAGGGCCCATCTTCACGTGGTTTGGGCAGGATTAGGGTGAATCCAGGAGAAAAGGAATGGGGAAGGGCCTAGGTGGGGGGAACAAGATGAATAAAAGCCTGGAGGTGCAGACCCCTGGGGTGCAGGTAATACAGAGGTGACAGCTGTCTCCCTCCTGGGGGTGAGCTCAGTTGGGCCTAGGGGCGGCGTAAGATAAGGGAAGGGTTGGGGGCACCCCCTCTGGGGTTCTGGGGCAGGATGTTCTCCTCAGCATGGAGACCTTCTTATTCCCACAACACAAATTATAATAACAGCTAATATTCATCAAGCACTTGACTGCATCCCAGTCCTGTCAGCTAGGCCTCTGCCCAAATCCCATCCCAAAGAGGCCCTCCCTGACCACCCCATGGAGCTAACAGACACCCCACTCCCCTCACATTGCCTTATTTTTATTCACAGTACTTAGCAATATCTGAGATTCTTTATCTGGTTGTCTATTATCTGTCCGCTTCACTAGAATGTAATCTTCACAAAGACAAGTAAATCCCTTTTATTTACTGCCCTGCAAAGCATCTAGCACAGTTCCCAGCACATAGTAGATGCTCCGTGTTTGTTGAATGAACGAACAAATGAATGAATGAAATGAAGTGAGTCATTTAGCCTTCACAACAGTGCAATGAGGTAAATAATGTATCTGGTCTTACCGTATTCCATGAGGAAAGGAAGGCGAAGGCTTTATCACCTGCTTACAGTTGTACCCTAGGAAATGGCAGAGGCAGGAGTGGCCCAGGACTGTGGCTGCAAAGTTGTGCTCTTCCTGCCACACTGGCTGCCTCTTGGGTCTTCAGATCACCTCACATAACCAGCATGTCTTTGGGTCCGGCCCTGCGTGGAGACTGGGGAAGAGCAGATTTGGGGGCCTGACCTCAGAAAGCCTGTATCATGATACGGGAGATGGGTGGACCCACACACAGGTCAGCTGCAGGTGAGACGGGGCAATGTGTGAACAGGATCAGGTGACCTTGAGGGGAGGGAGCACTGTGGGCCCGGCCGCAAGGAAGGCTGGTCCACAGGAGAGGGGCTGCAGTTGACTTTGAGAGCAAAATGGGACTTTGGCAGGAGGGAGGGCTTTCTGGGCCACACGCAGGCCTGTTGTGTAGACAGCAAGGAGTCCGGCCCAACAGAAGCAAAGTGTGCCCCGCCCTTACACCTCCCCTGTCCTCCCCTGCTGCTAGGTGTGAGGGTGGAGCACCTGGTCAGGGCACGGTAAGTTGAGCCCCGGGATATAAGACAATTAATCGCGTATGTAAGTTGCAAAACTAAACAGATCCTGGGACGGCAATTGCTTCTGTGTTCTGTGCCCCTGAGCCTTGTATACGAGCTGCCTTGTGAACTGAGGCTGTCCCCAAATACCAGCCACAGAGAAACTGGGAAGGTAGGGCTTCTGTCTTCTAGATGGCCAAGTCCCGAGCCTGGAGTTTCCTGGGGGGAGATGTGGTCTGTGAGGCCTTCCTGGTTGGCATCTGAGTTGAGTTTCCAGAAAGTGCAGTGACCCTTAGTGTCCCATTTGTTTGGGAGCTTAAACTCGGCTTTGAGAGGCACGAAGGTGGGTGGGATGGTTCTAGTTCTGAACCTCCCTGGCCTGGAATCTGCCCGGAGCATGGCTGCCCTGAGTCTGGCTCAGCTCAAGGTCCAAAGAAGCCCCGTGGGCTCGTAGAGACAGGTTGGCTTTGTACTTGGCCGGTCCTCCCCTGAGGCCTCTTGGACAGTCTCTGGGGAGAAGGAAGAGTCCAGCCCGGGTCCCCCCAGGAATATCAAAATGAAAAAGACCCAGTTTGTGCCCTCAAAGACTTACTAATTCACGGACATGGGGGAGCTGCAAGACTGGGCGGTGGGAGGGCCAGTGTAGCAGCACCTGCTGAGACTCCTGGTAGGAAAATGAACTCTGGGTTCTTGCTCTGTCACTATTGGGCCGGTTTGGTTCAAGAGACTCCCTCAGCCTCGGTTTCCCACCTGGAGGATGCCCACTCTGCCAGCTTCTCCATTTTGTCCCTGGGACCTGGCATCCAGCAGGCCCTTGGCTCCTTGCAGGGGCCCCACTGAGCACCCCATGGCCTCCTCCTGCTGAGGAGGGGGTGGGGAGGTGGCCCCACCCTCAGTGAGGGAGCCAGAGGAAAAAGACAAAAGAACACTTCCCAAGCAGCCTGCTTGCAAATTAATGGAGCGCAAACTCGAACTGCTCCAAGTGCTGAGGGAATGCACAGCAGTGGGGATAGGAGCTGTTCGTTGTGTGTGGGGCTGGGGCCCAGCTCGCTTCGCCTGTGGCCTCAGTCTCTCCTCTCTGCGAGGAGCCCTCTGACCTGCATGAAGTCCTGGGTTTCCTGCTAGGAGAGAGTGAGCCCCAGGATGTCCAGGTGTCCCCGGCTCTGAGACCGAAGGAAAGGTGTCTGAAGTCAGAAGCAGAGGAGCCTCAGCTCCCAGCCCACAGCGTGGGCCTCCCTCTGAGGGTGCCCACTCCGCAGCACACATCCTCTCACCTGCTGAGGGGGAGGCTGGTTTTAGACCCCAGGCTGGGAGATTGGGAGATCGGCCCCTCCTCCACAGTCTCCCTAACTCCCAGGCAAGTGCGTGGCTCTCTGCTCTCAGCCCCCCACCCCCGCCCCTGGAGTTCATCCCTCACCCCAGCCTGTGTTTCAACTGGGTCTGGGGTTCAGCTCACACCCTCCATGGTGGTTCCTGAGGCCGCTCCTGCCTCCTTCATTCCTTGGGATCCGGGTCTTTCCTTTCTCCCAGTCAGTCGCACATCTCTCCATCTGCATATTTTAATTCCCCCAGCTGCCTTTCCCATCCCTCCCTGCCATTTCCCACCTCTCCTCCCCTCCCCCTGTCCTGCTGTGTTCACTCCAGTGCCTGTGCTGGGCTGGGACTTCTACAGAGGCTCCCTCTTGGCTGTAGTCTCAGGCCTGCCTCCTTCCTGGACTTCCTGAGTCCCCTTCGGGACTTCAGCCAGCCACCCTGAGAGAGAAGCCAGCATAGAAGGGGGTCTGTCTGGAGTTCCCAAGGATGAGTTCATGGCCTGCCCCTCACCTGCCACCTGCTTTCTCCCTGACACCTTCCTTGCCCTCAGCGACCCCTGGGAATGAGGTCCTGCCTGCTTTCCAAAGCCTCACAGAGCCAGGCTCCAGGTCTGTGTGCAAGTCTGGAGGGTGAGCCCTGTATCTCACCCCCTTGTCCTGCTGGAGAAATTGATCCTCATTAACAAGGTCTCGGCCCATCTCAGCCTTTCTCCTGGCCCCTCCATGATTCCTGTGGAAGCCCAGGAGGCCTGGGCCCAGTCCATGGCTGGTGGGAGGCTTGCGTGGAGGAGAGGGAGAGCATGGGGCCACTGGACCGAGGCCAAGGGGAGGTCAGATGGGCTTGAGTTTGATTCAGGCACTTTTGTCCTGCAACTCTTGATGCTGTGGAAACTTCCCTCTCCAGCAACTCAATTCGGGCTTAATTCAACAGCTGGACAGATCTTGAGGTCTGGGCTGGTGGGAAGGGCTGGAGGATCCCCGCTCTTTCCTGCACATACGAGGGCAATAACAACGCACAATTACTCAGCACTGACTGTCCAGGCCATTCACTTGCATAGAGTGGACAAGTCACTGGATCTTACTGGTCCCTTAGCAGGAACATCCTGGACCAGGGTTTCTCAGAAGTGACTGGGACCGATCACCTGTTTTAGACTCATGAAGGTTGTTTGAAATGTAGGTTCCCAGGTGCTGTACCAACTGAATCAGGATTTCATGGGGCAGGGGCCCTTGGGTGTCTGCATTTTCAACCAGCTGCCTAGACATCAAGTTTGAGAACTGCTGCTCCCTAGTAGCTGTCTGCCCCAGGCCAAGTGCTCCTGGGATTCTTGTCCCAGCAGGTGAAGGTGGTGTGGGGTTTACTCGCCCCCCACCGAGGCCCTGCCCCCAGGAGGGCCTCTCACCTGCCAGTGGCCACAGGCAGTCCTGCTCCGGAGGGGAGGGGCCGGGGCAAGAGCCCGGATTATACCATCTTCATACCAGGAGCCAGTCACAGGCCTGTGGAAGCTGACACAGTGACTGAGGTCAGACTTAGCCCACCCAGCATCCCCTGGCAAATGGTCCAGTCATCCACCCTGCTGGCGCACCCTACCCTAGACCTCCCCAAGCAGATGCTCAGGGTCTTCACCATACAATACGGTGGACAACACAGCGAAGGAATATCTGCCAGTTGGTATGCCCCCAAACTGTCTGGACAGCCCTTTTTGTCATGGAGCTGGGGGACCCGGGGCCTGGAAGGAGGTTTTTCATACCCCTCTCCACCCCGGGAATCCCATCTTCGAAGCTTGTCCTGGAGAGTGGGTGTCAGCTGTGACATGCAGGCGATGAAACTTGGGTCCTAAAGGCAGGAGCCAGGAGCAGCACGGGGTGGCAGCACTTGCAGGGAGTCAGGAGTCCAGGCAGCAGCCAGCTGGCCTCCAGCAGATCTAGCCTTGGCCTTGGGCAAGTCACTGCCCATCTCTGTGGCTCTTGGATTGAAGTTGATGAAATAGTCAGTGGGGTATGTTCTGTTCCCACACACAGAAGGGGTTCATCCCCTCCTGGCTCTGTGTGTGTATATGTGTGTGTGTACATGCGTATGCATATATATGGGTATGTGTGAGTACATGTGTGCATGTGTGTGAGTGTGTATACATGTATGTGTATATGTGTGTGTAAAAGGCTCTGATGGACAACACAGTGAAGTTATATGTGTGCGTGTGTGTGTATGTGTGCACATGTATGTGCCCGTGTATGTGTGGTCTGACTCCTCCCCTGCACTTGGCACCTACTCTGGTTTGTTTGCTATTTCATCATGTGATACCTTCGAAGGTGATCTTACCCTCCTGTGTGTCTCTCCAGGCACAGGGGCGACAGCCTCCTCTGTCGTGTCCCCCACATGTTTGCACAGGGCAGGACACACGGTGGGGTGTGGGAAGGGCCCCCACAAGTGCTCATATATGATTTATGGGTGAGAGTTCAACCAGCAATGTCCTTGGGGAAGACCCAAAGACAGAGTTCCACCTCAACCATTTAGCCACGGGCTGGGACTGGCCCGGAACCATGCTGCCCTGGTCCTGCATTCTGATGGGACCCAGTGTGGTGACCCGGGGCTGCTCACCCCATCTCTGCTCTCATGGGCTGCCTCCTCCTCTCCCCACAGGACGGCTCTCCTGCAGGCGCGTCCCCGGCTGCTTCTCCCAGTGCAAAGCCTCGTGTGCCTGGCAGCCTTCGGCCTGGCCCTGCCTCTGGCCATCAGCCTCTTCCCACAGATGTCAGAGGTCAGTGAGGGGAGGGGCTAAAGGGCAGGACAGGAGGATGTAGTTAGGCCATTAATTAACAAATCCTTATTCAGCGCTGACGCCCTCACACTGGGCTAGGTGCTGGGGTTAGAACCGTGAATGAGACAGACATCTCTGAGCTCAGGATGAAGCAGTGGACACAACAATGAAACAGGGAATAGAAAATGAAGGATGAGTGTTAGGGTAGGACCAACTGAGCTGGATGTGGGAGGAGATAGTGGGGAGCCCCAACAGAGCCTTGAGGGAAGTGGCATTTTCTGGGACCTAAAGGAAGGGTTAGAGTTGGCTGGGTGCACAGTGGGCGATGGGACACATGGGCTGAGGTCACCTGGGGTGAAGGCAGCACAGAGCATGTTCAAGAGCTGAGCAAAGTCTGCAGCTGGAGCAGAGAGTGGAGCAAGATGAGGTGGGTCAGGTGCAAACTTGGGAGCCAACGCAGAGGGTCATTGTCATCAGAAGGAAGGGCTGAGCAAAGCAGGACCACAGATGCTGATTTTGAACGGTCCCCACGGCTGCATGGTGAGGCTGGGTTGGAGCTCTGGGGGAGAAGCAGCCATCAGGAGGCTGTGGCGGGCGTCCAGCGAGAGATGATGGCGGCTTGGACCAGGCTGTTGGCAGTGGGCATCGAGAGAAGCGGGTCCTTTCTGAGAGAGTTAGGAGGCAGCTTCGTGAGAATTGAGGAGCCGCATGTGGTGGGAGGGAACGGGAGCTGCAGGATGTGTGCCCGGCTTTCTGGTTTCGAACAACCAGGCAGATGTAGGTACCACGTGATGAGATGGAGGCACGAGTCGGGACGGTTTGAGGGAGGACAGCGTGTTGCAGTGGATGGACACGTGGGGTTGGAGGAGCCTGGGGGAGTTGGCGCTGGGTCTGGGAGACAGAAGTAGGGCCACCAACATAAGAGACAGTAACGGAATCGAGGGGGTAGTGGGATCCGCCAGTGAGCCCGTGGAGAAAGGAGGTGCTCGGGTAGGGCTGGTGACTAAGGATGAGTGACCAGGGAGGCAGGGACAAAGCCAAGTGGAAGTCGGGGCTGGTGGGCCAAGCACAGAGTCAGACGCTCTGAGAGGTGATGCTCCGGGAGGTTGAAGCGTGTCTGAGTGTCTCGGGCAGTGAAGGCAAACCCTGACCCAAGGGACAGGTCCAGCTGAGGGGTGAGGAACCGGGTGGCAGGGCGGAATGCTTGGCATCAAGGGAAAAAAGAAACAGACCCACAGCTGGAACGAGGCGTGGGATCAAGAGAAGCTTTTATTTATTTCCCCCTTTTTATTTTTTAAAACTTTTTAGTTGAATTTATTGGGGTGACATTGGTTAGTAAAATTACATAGGTTTCAGGTGTACAATTCTATAATACATCATCTGTAGATCGTACTGTGTGTTCACCACCCCAAGTTAAGTCTCCTTCCATCAGCATTAATCTCCCCTTTACCCTCTTCTGCCTCCCTCACCCCCCTTTCCCTCTGGCAATCGCCATACTGTTGTCTGTGTCTAGGTGCACCCCTATGTTATTTATAATAGCCAAGATTTGGAAGCACCTAAGTGTCCATAGTAAAATGAGTGGATAAAAGAGCTATGCCACATGTACACAACGGAATACCACTCGGCCATAAAGAAGAAGGAAATCTTACCTTTGTGACAACATGGATAGACCTGGAGAGCATTATGCCAAGTGACATAAGCCAGCCAGAGAAACACAAGTACCATATGATTTCACTCACGTGTGGGATTTAATACACAAAATAAGCTAACAAACAACATAGAAACAGATTCATAGATGTTTCCCCTTTTATAAACGGGAGGAAGTGGCACTTGTATATGCAACAGGAATACACCAAGAGAGAAGTGGAGAAAGAGGATGGAGTGCAAAGTCTATGAAATGGGGGATGGGGGTTCAAAGGGGTCACTTTGACAGGGAGAAAGCCCTCCCACCTCAGCAGGGGGAGGCAGATGCAGTTGGGGTGGGGTTCAGGGGTGGAGAGGTTAAGGAAGTTGTTCTGATAGCTTCTGGTCTGTATTCTCATGTCTGAGCAGAGAGGGAGCAAGAGGGTGGGGAAAGGGAAGGTCAGAAGTGTGAGGACTGTGGAGAAGCTTCTAGGCGTTCAGAGAGTGAGTGGGAGAGACAGCTGACCAAGGAAGTCACAGAGCCTGATGGCAGTGCAGGTGGGGGGGAGGTGTCAGCAGAGGGGAAGCTGAGGGGGGACACAGGCCTATGGCTGTGGGTGGGGCCTGTTTACCCAGAGGTGCCGGGGGCCAGCTCCGGGCACCACAGGGCTCTCTCAGAGGGTTTCATCCAGCTGGGTGGGGCCTGTGGGAGGTTGGTGAGAGGTCGGGAGAAGCAGTGGGCCCTGGCATCTCAGCAGGTGGAGGGGAAGGTGGGCAAGCAAGCTGATGGGAAAGCAAGGTGTGAGGTGGTCAAGAGTGGACGGGGAGTGTGGAGTCACTGAGCTCAGGCAGATGGGGGCTGTGGCTGGAGAATGGGCACTTCTGAAGCTGCTGTTGCAGGACTCACCCTGCTCTATCCTCCAGAAACGGTGAGAGGGTATCGGTGCCCAGAGGGAAGTCAGGGAAGGTGAAAATTAGGGTCCTGGTGTTAGACCTGGCCTGTGAGGACTGGGACCCGGGGTCTTAGAGCAGGAGTTGGTGACCCAGCCTGTAGGCCCTGCAGTCCTAGGGGGGTGAGAAGTGAGCCCCCAGAGTTTTAAAAGGAAGCTATGAGGCGATGGGGCTCCTATCCTGGGGGCCAGCCCACACCGGATGACAAGCCTAGTGTGTGATCTGTGCCAGCAGGGCCCAGCCTTGTCATGAAGCCAGGGACACCCCTCCCGTCTCCTCCCGCCCCCCCCAACCTGGAAGCTGCACAGCTATTACCTGATGCTTGGGGCCTCCACATGGAGCTCAGGGCTGCAGGTTGTCTGGAAGGTCTAAAGATGGAGGGAGGGCACTTCTCGGAGGCTGTGGCATCCCCCTCCTGGAGGACTGGGCCGGGCCGCGCAGTCCCCGAAGCCGCTGCATCTCTCTGTATAGTTGGGCTGAGTCTGCGGTTCTAGACGAGGGTCCAGGTGCCCCATGTGCTTGGAGGCACCACTGTGGTCAGATGTTTTAAGCAGCCCTCACAGCTCCCCCTGTCTGCTCCGGGGAGGGACCCAGGGCCGACAAACCCAAGGTACAGGATCCGAGACTGTGCCTGTGGAAAGGACTTTAAAGGTCCTGGTTTACCATCCTGCTGACTCTGCTGAGAGCAGGAGGCCCAGAGCAGCCCCGGGACCAGCCCACAGTCACAGAAGTCAGGGCTGACATGGAGGAACCCCAGAGGCCACTCCCAGGCCAGAGCTCCCAGGAAGGGCTGCATCTGCTCGTCCTGTGGGATTTCCTCTCCTCGCTCAACCACCTGACCTACCTGCGAGCAGTGAGAGAGGCGGAGCCGGGGGCTGCCCTGCAGCCGGAAACATCCGGAGCGCTGTGGGTCCTGATGGGTGTTCCTCTGGGGCAGGTAAGGGGGAGATGGCAGGAGACGGTCTCGGTCTCGGTGAGCAGCGCTGGCCTCACAGAGGTTCCATGTCCGGGCGCAAGCTCCTCTCGTCCCCCAGGCCTGGCAGACTCAAATAGGCAGAGTTCTCTGGGTGTCTCATTGCAGCCCAGGCTTCTTTCTCTAGACTGGGAAGAAGGTAGTCATTGCACAGTAAGGTTGTTCCCTGGGAAAGCGGGGTAGGGATGTGATTTTTCAGCGCCCCCTCCTCACCTGAATCAACCCCAACAGGATGCAGGTAGGCCTGGGCATTGTGGGGTGTTTTGAGACCTGTCTGTGACCGACAGCACCAAGGCCATCAGCCAGTTGGCTGAGAGGACCTTGTCCCCCCCCCCCCATTCATCCTCCCAATTAATTCTAACAAGGCGCTGCTTCTGCCATGGGGGGATCATGTCTCCCATCCCAGAAGCCAGTGGGATTTGCCACAATAAGTCTGGACTTGCTTGGGCTGACCCAACCTTGCCAAGAGCCACCAAGGTTGTCAACAGGAGTAATCGCTGGAACACTAATGAATTAATTAGGGAACTTGGAAATTGCACTTAGGAGCTGGTTCCTAGCCTGGCTGGCCTTGGTGTGTGGTGTTTGGCACGAGGCTTTCAACCCTCTAACCCCAGAGGCTGAGAGAAGAACTTCCATCGCCGGGCGAGAGTCTTGTCTGGCCTTTTCAAATCAGTATTTCTGCCTATTGAAATGGTGCTAAATTTTGAAATAAAAATAGCAAATAATAATAATAGCTACCATTTACTAATCATCTACTATGCCAGGCAGCATGCCGGGAAACGCTGCATGTCTTGCTGTGTTCCATCTCCCTAATGCCCTTGAAGGATGTTACCTAGACAGTTAGATGTGTGCATCTCGGGCTCTGGGGAGAGATGTTGGCTGGAGACACGGAACTTTAGGTGCCTGGGGGGAACTGAAGTTGAGGAAGGGGTGAGGTCACTGTGTGGGGGGAGAAATGGCATCCAGGGCAGCCAGGGGCAGAGGGAGAATCTCTATGCAGTGGCTTCATTGATGCTGAGGACAAGGGTATGTCAAGGAAGAGGGTGCTCTCTGCAAGTGAGCTGCTGCAGAAGGGACTAGAAGCCGACGAGACTTGAAAACTGGGTGATGTAGCTAGACAAGGCGGTGTAGGAGGCAAAATGGTAGTCAAGTTCCTCTGTTTAGAGAAGTTGGCTCAGGGATGAGAAACCACTGGAGAACAGCAAAGGAAGTTTTATTCACTGGGTGTTCGGTTGAGGGTTGGGAGCCTGGAGAGAGGACAATGATGGGGTGCCGGGGTCCAGTACATAGAGGGGTCTGGTTGGCTGTGGTGGGGAAGTAGGGGTCCAGAATGTGACAGTCCTATGAGGTCGGTACCATTGGCTTACAAATGAAGAAACTGAGGCGTCCCAAGGTTAAGTTCCTGGTCCAAGGTCCAAAGTTGGTAGTGATGGAGTGAGCTCTGGACGCACAG